CCGCCAATGTGCAGCGACATCGTATGCTCGCGTTTTATCACCTCAATACTACGACTACTGTCAGTCGATGACGTATTCGAAGCCACTCAGCATTACATGCAAAGTGAATAAAGGAAAATGTTGACAATTTTTGTTCGATTTATGAATTTTATTTTCTAGATTGATTTTGCTATTAAAAAAATATTAACAATTTAATTAATTAAAAGAAAACGAATTGAAAGTTTTAAAAATACATATACTCGTATATACAATTTGGACATCCGGGTCTTAACTCTATTTGGTATCAAATTATTTAACAGAGAGTATAATGAATTAGTTTTGTAACAAATTTGTGGTTCTTCAAGTCTTTATCTTATCGGTCAAAATGAAAGACAAAGTAATTTCTTAATAAAAATATGTACTTCAATATTCGGTTCCTGGATTTCGGGCTCACTAGGAAAATATTACTTTAAATATTATCACATAACATTTTTATTACTGTTTGTATATTATAATTGCACTTGTATTTAAAAATGAAATTTTATGTCCAATAAATCTTATTTGTTTAAAAACTACATCCTGGCGCGACTCCACAGTTAATGCCGAGTGCGTTGATGACCGTCCGATTTCCGAAAGCTCTCATATAACCCCTAATAAATAAATAAATATTCAAGCATATGAGATTTATAATCATTTATAGTCGCGTAAGTAAATAAGGAACAAAATCTCGTTTGATATGGAAATTCCAAATTCTTTTATCAAAAAACCTGACATTTTATTTCTATTAAGATTAATACTTTTATATTGATATAAATCATATTCTAAATAGCTTTTTATATTCATAGATAAAGTAAAACTAATCAGATGTTCGAAAAAGGTTTTGTTATGAATAAATTTTTGGGATGAACTCAAGATGAACTTGAGGAATTCTAATGTTGTTTATTTCAAAAGTTTTGATTAAATCTGGCCGCAAAGGTTTCGCAATTTAGAGATTTGTAACTATAGTTTTTCATTATTAAAAAACTTATTAATAGAGACTATTCAAGGGTTCTAGTGGACAGGCGCTAATTAAAGATTTAAGTTGGCGCCTGGTAGATAGTACCGGTGACCCCAGAGCTGCTGCTTTCCTCGCTCCACGAATAAATATCGCAATAGTGCTTTGTTTCATGTTCCTCACATTAACACTAACTATGCAAAAAACTCAGTTTTGTATCGCGCAGCCCGGACATACAACGACCAATATTTAAGCCTTGACTTGTTTAAACTATCGCGGAATATGGTTAAAAGAAGTATTAAGAATATCCATAGCGCAAAATCACCTGCATCATGAGCATACCCCACATACACACCTTCACGTACTTACCCTCACTTTTACACCATCACACAACACAGCCAAATTAGGTATTATTTAGTTGAATGTATTGAATAATTTTTGTTTTTTTTGTTTGTTTGATTTTGTAAATTTTTGAACCTTTTTGTAGTAAAATGTATTATGTATTCCATTTCTGGCTATATTTTCAGTGTAACTGTTTGTTATTATATATAATTTATGTTAGCTGTAGGATTACGAAATAAATACATAAATACCTATGCTACCATTTACCAGCATTAACACACTAGCCACTTTAGTACACTGCCTTAGGGACCAATTTTTTAAAATTTATTTGAGTTTGCTATTTATCAATTTTTAATATTTAAAATTATGTAAGTTAAAAATATTGTAATTACTCTATATTTGTGCGTTATTAAATATATTTTAATAATAATATGAGAAAAGGTTGGTAATTTTGTAACAATTAAACTCAAAAACAACTAGACCAGTTTAAGTAATTCATTCTTTATTAGCATTATCCTTAAGAAAAATAGGCTTCATTTATTTCCAACAAACTGTCAAAAATACAGGCCGCTAACATATCTACTTTATATTGTTAATAATTTTGTTAGTTCAATAAAATAAATTATATTTCAAGAGTGTGGCTACACAAAGTTCTCGTTAAAGTCGTTCAACCATGTAAAAATAGTGATGGATTGGAAAATGGAACAGTGGACCAATACAATTGATCTTGACCCAAATCCGCTTACGGACTCGCCTGTCTATCAAATGATGACGCAGATGCGATGAGAACGTGAAGAAACTGATAGTGGTTTGTGACACAGAAGGCATCACGCGGTCGTTCACCAACCAGATGGACCGATCAAGTGAAAGACTAATCGTCCTCAAAATTGTAGGTGAAATAAGGGAGGTGCTGGACAGAAACCGGTGGAAACAGATAGTTCGATCTAGATCTTTGCTGACCAAGACGCTGAGATGGGGCTAGGCGTGAGGTTACACCAGTTCAACGGTCCTAGGACTTCAGAAGTCTCCTATGATTACAGGCTTCATAAAGAGACCTCGGGTAGTCGAGGATTTTTACGCGTTAATTGGCCACTCCCTATATGTTGTGCGTTAGTAATGTTTTATCAATTTTAATTAATAAAACCCTGGTGCTGTCTATACATAAAACCTTTTTTTTATATGAGTTAATTGATGGAGATAAAATCAATATTGTTTCTTAATAAAGCATTAGGAAATAGTATCTCAAACGGGCGCCCACTGTAGCGCAGCATACAAAGCTTCAGGTGTGTCAAAGATCGATGGAACGATGTATGATGGAACGAGAAAGGAAAACAAAATCAAGAATACAGCTTTAAGAAAAGCAACTAAGGTAACATATGCTACAATAAAAATACATAAACTAAAGTGGAAATGGGCGGGGCACATAGCAAGAGGAACAGAAAATTGGAGTAAAAAGTACTAAACTGGTACCCAAGGTACAGCAAACGAAAAAGAGGAGGACAACTTAAAAGGTGGATATGTCACCGTAAAATTGTAAACACCGTTAGATTGTAATCTATCTCGCGAGATTGTAAACTGTCGAAAGATTGTGAACCTCAACGAACTGCTCACAATTTAACGTATTATTATTCGGTAGATTGTAATCTATCGAAGTGAAACCGTCAAATTACAATCTTAAAATTGTCAACTGTCCGAAGGTTTTCTTTTAATAGATATACCAAATTAAAGAAACAGCAGGTGGCAAAGTGCAGACAGGAATGGCGGGATTTGGATTTAGGCCTTTGCCATAATAGGGCACACATATACCTAGAAGATTGAAATAGTAAAGTGTTTAAATATAAAAGTATCAGAATTAAAAGGCTATTACTATTATTATTAATAAAGCATAGTTAATAGTTGTTTTATATTGTTTATTAGTAACTGTGGTCGCTGTAATTGTTGGACATTCTATAGGTAGTCAATTTGTATGTATAATTGTGTGTAACCTTAAAAGAACTTACTTTACTATGATCGTTAAAATTAAATCAGAAAACATTTCATAAAAAAATTTATTTATTCAAATCTTTAACTTACCGTAGTTGAAAGCATCTTTGCATCTCAATTAAAAAAGTGATTGTGAAATGTAGGCATCATAATTTTTAAAAATGTAATTAAAATTGTATTACATTAGCTTAATAATTATGCATTCCTTTGTTTTTAAGACAATTTATTCTACAGGGGCACAAGAGCAACTATCAAAATATACTTGTATTATAAATCTCAAACATATGCAATTAAAACCACGCATTTTATCGGAGTTCAGTACATGAAGGCCGACAACAGCCGACACATTAAGCTCTTGATAAAATATATAAACTTTGGGACTTGAAAATTAGATAAATCATGTTTTGTCAACACTATACCTACATCATATACAGAGTACCTATATCAGAAGAAAAAAGATGGGAAACATCAAATGTCTACAGAAAAAACTAATTTTAAATAATAACTATCTAAACTCTGTGTTTTATATTATCTAGAAAATTATTACAATTAGTTTAATGAACATTAAAATTCCATTGAACAAATCTTGTTCATTATAACATCTAGAAATATTAACATTTAATTATTAAAGAGCAATAATCTCAAGCGTCTTAATTAACATAAAATGTTTGAGTTTTAAACTGAATACTAAAAGAAATATTGTGCGTTTATCTACACTCTGATAAGTAAGGGTTATCACTTAATAAATAATAATCTCGTAATTAATAAAATATATGAATGATACTATAATCATGTATTTTTACATAGAATAAGTAAGTTTAAAAATACATATTCTAATATGTAAGTCTAAACGCGTAAAAGGAAACAATGTTTTTAAATTGTTGTAATACATGTTAAATGTTTGTTTTACCAAAGAGGTGGCATTATTATTTTGTGTTAGGGGTTTCTGTAGTCTACAGCATATTCAAATTGTACTTATCTGAGGCCCGCTGGGCGCATTTGGCTCCACCTGTAGTCCATGCGACATTGCATTAACCTTTTATATATTACGGTCAATTTAAATTTATGAGATTAAATATAATATAGTGTCTAAAACACACATACTTGTGTTTATAACCGTCTATATTAGATTTATATACGAAGTCGTAATATTTCATCGTAAGCTGTTAAATTGCATATAAAATTGAACATGTATAGCAATTGACAACCCTAATTCAAAGTGGTTTGCAGTTCCCGGCGTAAGGTCGTCGCCCCTTCACAAAGAAAAATAATTATGTTCATCGCACGTTTACTTTGAAGATATGCCTTTTGTGAAACAATAAAAACGCAATGGATAATGACTGTGTTTTTCTTTCAGAGAATGGGGGAAAGCTTTTTGTTTTACATTTGAGTTTTTCGAGACTGTTCAAACGCTGCCAAACAAAATTATTGAAGCATAATAGTGCCCTTAAATTATTCTTGTCCCCCTTAGTCTGGTCTTAGTTTTATTGTCTTTTCATAAAAGATTTTCTCTTTTTTCAGATCGAAAAGCCGGAGAAAACAGTTTCTATGCACTAAAAGTGATACCATAAACAAAAAAATATACAGTGATACAAAGTGTCCAAAAAAAGTGATCGATAAATGATAAAAATACATGATGAAAATTGAACGAATGTGAGTAGTTGACGTTGAAAAATAGTGATAAAGTGTTCAGTGAATGTAGATGGTGAGGTGGGTGGCACGAATGCAGGCGGACGGCCCCAGCAGCCTGCAAGTCAATGACATCGCCGGCGCACACGGTGCTGTTTCTGGCACTTGGTGAGTGTTCAATCCATGTATCAGCTTAGAGATAAACATTTACAAATAAACAATTTCTTGTATTTCATACCTGAGATTGCTTTTCAACTAAAAAATCGGTTGTCTGTAAAGTCGGTTTACTTACGATAGTTGAACGTGACAACGTCATAAGAAAATACTGATAGAATGGTTTCATTTTTCAAAAGAAAACTTTAATTTTATTTGTTTGATAGATATTTTGTATTTATATATAACGTTACATTTAAATAAGATAACAGTAATATACTATAGCAATGTGGGCGTTATCTGAGCATACCCCACATACACACCTTCACGTACTTACCCTCACTTTTACACCATCACACAACACAGCCAAATTAGGTATTATTTAGTTGAATGTATTGAATATTTTTTTTTTTGTTTGATTTTGTAAATTTTTGAACCTTTTTCTAGTAAAATGTATTATGTATTCCATCTCTGGCTATATTTTCAGTGTAACTGTTTGTTATTATATATAATTTATGTTAGCTGTAGGATTACGAAATAAATAAATAATTAAATATATATTCGAGATCGGTAAGAACAAAAAACAATTGCTACGAATAGCCACAGCCTGGATCGAGGTACTGGGCGTTGACATATCGAACTACGTTCAGTTTCGCGAAATTTCACCCGTATCACCTCGTTCGTTGTACCACAACTGAGCGTTTTTTTATGGCAGTTTTTTCCACGCACTACTACTAAGTGGAACCAGCTACGCACATAAGTATTTCCAAACCAATTCGACTTAGGGATCTTCAATAAAAGAGCGTATCAATTCTTAAAAGGTCGGCGACGACTCGCGCCCTCTGGCAGTGAATTAATACAACAATAAAACCCCTCGACACAGCATAAACAACGATAATTCTAAATATCAACTGTCAGCGTCAACATTATTCAGCTTTACAGTTCAACTGAGCTATTCAATTTAATTTGCAATTAAAAATATAACTTACACTTACTCACTCCGCTGGCTCTGGGACCCAGAAAGCGTCTTGGTCTCCGAAATGAGAATCTTCTAGCACAAATCCTGTGCAAATTGCTGGCTTTCAGCTGCAGCAGGTAAGCCTTATTCACCGATCTTGTAGTGCCCCAACCATTGTAGTTGATGGGACTTGTACTCTTATAATATAACTTCAAGAAAATATAACTTAATAATATAATTAGAATATATTGTCATTTCATCATATTAGTAACGTGCGTTATTAAAAGTGTAACAAAGTATTTTTTTTATTAATGCCCCAGCTGCACCCTTGGATATCCGCCAAGATTGATATTAAATGCATAGAATTAATATAGTTCCAGGATAATATCAATTTAGCTCGAAGCTTTATCTTAATATCCGCGATATTAAATCAATATGAAGATTCCTTGGCTGTATTTAGATTGTTTCATTCGTTTTTGTGTAATTCTTTTGTTAGTGTCAAAGACAATTTTATAAACAATTCTATTCGATCACAGATCTCAATTCATTTTTATTATTATTTTGTACAAAAAAGTACCTCCCTCTCAATCCTCGTCTTGAAGAGTGTAAATAAATGTAAAAACTAGTATTTCTCGCTCGATATGTAACATAATATTATCAAACGAAGTGGCGGGTACCAGTAGGTTTATAAGTAAATAAAATTACATTGCGGGAACTTAAAAATCGAACCTTCCTTAATTAAAAAGCCTCATAAAAGCCTTTAATTTCCCTACAATTTGATCAAAAAGCCAAGACCAGACCTTGTTAAACCAATCGGCCATGCTGTTTGTGGAAACGCAATTTCCACTAAAGCCTTTCCGATTTTGCTTTTCACTTTTTTATTTGTCGTGAAGATATTGGTCGGCCTTTGTACACTCAAAGATCAGGATTTAATACGACCACACGAATTCGTTGAAACATTTCTTGAACTACGTTTTAAATTACGAGGTTTTCCATTATTTATAATATATTGACACTGGATTGGTTTTAGATTCCTAAGATATTATGTTAACGCTTTCCATGGACGATTTATAATTGTATTACAATTATTCTTATAGTCAATAGTCAAGACCATCTTAAATGGCACTTTTGAGCGTTAAATAAAATATAAAGATGATTCTAGTTGCCCCTTCGAAATGACAGTTTCGTGTGGAGAAGAATGGGCGAGAAATCACACTTACTCTTTTAAAATAGGGTTTACAATATCTTGTACAGATTACTTAAATAGTTACATAGTTTAATTATTTCATTTTGCAAGGTATGTTAATATTAAGAATATTTTTAACTTCAAAGAAAACAAATCTCAAATTATAATTTTAAAGCTATCTTATTTTCAGATTAAATTATTATTATTGAGAATTTAATAGATAAAACTAAGTACACTTATGTCGTACGTTGAACGTCAATCAAGAAATGCTACTTTAAAATATCACTTATATAATAATAAAATAATATACATTGAAATAAATAACTAAACTTAACATAAACTAAAATATATCATTAAAAGGAGTCCCTTTAGGCAAGAAAAAATAAATAGTTATATGTGAAGACAATGTACTCCAAGAATAAAACTACTATACTAAAACAGCAAGTACTACTTACAAATTAAGCAATGCAGCGGATAGGTCACTTATTGTATTGTTAGTATACATGTTCCTCATATATTTACAAATATTGAATCCGTAGAATATTAAAGAGTTATAATAAAAAAAAACAATCAAACAGTGTGTGAGATAAAAATAAAATAAAACTATGTAAAAATAGATCAGCAACCAATTTGATTTTGTCCGCTGGTCCTGCACCAGCATGTTTCCAAGCATTGTTATCTTGAATATAATACTCTAATTTGTAATATACTTGTTTACAAAGGGTCATTTTAATAAAAAAAAAACATTTTCGTTAATTCATTTTCAATATGTCTCACAAGGTATTTTATTGTAACATGGTACTGTGTTAACACAGTACTTCTTGGTACTTTTATTTATGTAAATAATTTTATACGTTCTATCCAGAACTATACCTGTACGTTTTCAGGAGAATGGGTTCTTTTAATTACTTGACGCTACGCTAACTGCTATATAATTTCACGATGTTATTATTTCCCAATATTTCACTAACAAGACGTAACGCCTTTAATGCTATATTATCTTAAATGTTGCTTTAATAAACTTTCAAATTTTTTATAACTATTGACGACCTAAAGATAATTCTCTCGATACACCTGTTGATGACTAGGGTTAGGGTTAGGGTAGTAGGACTCCTTTCTCCGCAATTAGACTCGTAATTGGTCCGTTGTGCGTACGAGTCCTGGCTAATTTAGCCAGCCTAGCTCCTTCCAGAAGCACAGAAGTCTCCTGGGCACTTCACAGGCTTCCCGGAGCGACCTCACCGTTCCGAGGATTTTTTCACGTTGATTAGCCACAGCCTCGCATTCCAGGACTACGTGGGTGACTAAAATAAATAACGTTTTTTATTTATACAGTATAAGGTACAGAAACCGCCTTTTACCTACAATTAATTATTAACACTCGAAGTCCCAAAACCTACTTACTACGTACATTACGTATGTAACATACATATTAAGTCTAATATAGTTTTGACAGATATTTATAAGCGGTCTGTATAATAAGTGTTAAGTTTTTAAAATCTACCACAACTTTTTTTTATAAACATGGACCCCTACATCCTAGCCTATCAGACACGCAATCAGGCAGATATGTGACCGACCGAGTAGCTAAGCAGCAGGGGAGTGTCGAAATCTCCCCTTTCCTAAAAAGGGACATTATTAACTTAAAGGGTTGGTGTCTCCCGCCGGGCCCGGGCGACAACTACTCCGAAAATATCGTCATAATATTTATGGGCGAGTCGGGGCCCACTGCCTAGTGCTACCCGCGTTACCTTTCGTGCTATTTATATTAGTGACATGTTTAACAATCTTGCCGCAGAATTTTTCTAGCTGCGATCTGTGTTCAAGCAACATGTTGGATAGCCCATCCCGGGATACCCTCATGCTCCAGAGCTCCAGATCGCACCTGGTCCTTTCAAAAGTCGCACAGTCAACAAGTAAATGAGCCACCGTTTGGTTGGTTCTGTCGTCACAGTCCCACGCGGGGCTTGTCTTCAGTTTGATTCTTTGTAAATAGTGTCCAAACGCCCCATGGCCAATCAGGATCTGCGCCATGTGAGGTGCGAAACGCCTTGGCTTGATTTGTTTGTATGCCGCGTTTGCATCTTTAAAAAAACATTTTTGTGACTGAGGCTGTTTCGCCCCCCACATAGCGCTCTTTCCAGGTGTCTTGAGTCTTGTCAGGCGTCGCAAGAAGAAAGCGGATACGCATTGTACCCTATTCGCGTCCCCATCTCCCCGACGGCTTCCCCCGCGTCTGCCCTCTCGTTTCCCGCAGTGCCAACGTGAGACTTCACCCAAAAGAGTTCAATTTTTCTACCACTAATAGCGCGACTGGTACTCGTAATAAAACAGTAGTCACATTGACGTAAATATATTTAGAATTTTAAATAAAACACAAGTATTATAAATTATAATTTTTCGCATGAACTAAAATCGAAATGATTTCCCGTTAATAGGCTAGGCTGGATTATTCTACGGTGTAAAACATTCGTTTAAATTTAAAAAGCACGTTAATATGTACATTGAATGTAGTTCCGTCCGTTTGAAGTGCCACAAAAAACATTCAGAGCTGAGGCTAACGGCTGAGCGTGTGCACGAGAGGTGAAAAGCCGCTGTTGTAGAGATGCATTACTTTCTTGAATATCGATATAATACAACTTTAAAAGTTAAATAAACTTTTGTTAAGATGATTATAGTTAAAAATAGTATTATTTATTCAATTATGAATAAAAAAAACAAAAAAATCAACAATGTAGCGCACAAGCTCTTTAGGTCCATTGGTGCACAGCCGGGGATCGAATCTACGACCTAAGGTATGAGAGTCGCACGCTGAAGCTACTAGGCCATCACTGCTTTTTCAATTATGAATAGTGGGTTTAAATTATCTATAAACATTTGAAATGCAACAATTCGTTTCTCAGAGTACTAAACTTGTTAATCCAAATGTTTTAAGCCCGTAATTAGCTTAACTTTACCGAGTTTTATGTACTCTCAGGTCTGACAAATGTGGGTTGCTAATAAAAAGCTTATCACGACAGTTAAAACCTCTTGTAAAAATTTTTTTTTCTGAAAGTTTGTATTGCAGTGTTAAATGCTTACCCAGTATGTTTTTTTTAACTGTTATTCTTATTGTGCCTTGTGTAGTCATCGACAATTCATAGCATCACTAGTAAGGCCAACTAAAACACATCCCCCGAGGCGAAGCCCGAGGTTTCACTAATTTATTCAACACCGTCAGACAACTAGCGTTTGTAATTTTTATGCAAAAGTATACTTGGATTTAATAACACTAAAAATTAATTATCAAAGTGGGTGTTGGATCTGCAGTAATAAGCTGTTTACATTATACCAAGGGGACTTAGAAACCATTACTAAATTAATTTATTGTAATGTAACATAAATGAAAGAAGCTCTGAATAGCTAACAAAAATTCAAGAATATTTTTAATTAAGTCAATTATAATCAAGTAATACATTAAAGCTCGGAAGCTGGGCTGGTATCTGAACAATGTGTACGAAGATAAATATGGTATATTTTTATCTGTTCGAGATAAACTTGTTTTAAAATAACCCGATTTGATTCAAGTACTTTAATCAAAATAGAATTATAATCCTATAGCGCTACATCCCTTTAGGAGATCTAAGCCTAAGATTGTCTTCATCTGTTTCATTGATCTTTAGAGATCGTTGGAGATCCGGCTTTTGTGGCACATAGGAACGATTTTAGTGACTAAGGGTGCGTCCACATCTGGCGAATGTGCAGCTAGCGAACCGTTTGCGAGCTGCGCGCGTGCAGCCACGGCAATGGTTTGGTGCGCCTCTTTATCGCAACAAATGCAAGGCTCGTAGAAGGCGCGCGATCTGCGCGCACTCAATTCTCGCGCTTACAGTTCCGTTTACTGGCCTGGACGGAAGAAAGACGCGAGCCGCTAGCGCGCCGCCCGCCCGCAGATCGCGTACGGCGCTTAGGTTGCGCTCGAACTGTTCGCTAGCTGCACATTCGTGGCATATGCGCCAGATGTGGACGCACCCTAAGATGTGATGTGTCTTTATCGTATTACCTCCACTGACCAGCAAAAATTGCGCACACAGAATCAAAAATAAATGGTCTATCCACTTTCGTTTTTACCACACTCTTAACGCTGTGTGAATAAATAACATTAAATAAAAAATTAGAAATAAAACAATTTTCTCTAACAGTATTTTTTTTGTTTCAGCTTGCTCGAGTATCAAACTAACTTCCACAGTAGCTGATTATGATAACAATCACATAATCAGTAACACAATGAAGATGGAAAGGACCAAACCAAATATATATGATGAAATTTATACTGATAACATTTTAGAATCAAATTTTAATATACATAAAGAAAAATTAAAATTAAGAAATAATAATGTAAAATTTAATGTAAATAAAAGGAATGCCGTAGCCCATAATAAAATCACAAATGAGAATGATAATGTAAATATTAAAAACGATATAAATTTTAATAGTAGCGAAAAAGTAGACGGTGTGTCTAAACGAAGTAACGGGATCGAAATATATTTACCCAAACGAAGAGTTAAGAGGGAAGAAGATCCAGACCCGAGATGCGAATATTTTATGTTTAATAATAATAATAAGGATCAGAAATATATTTCGCATCCCTATGGTGATGACAGTAAAAATAATTATTATTACAGCAATTTGGATTGTGTCACTGTTATAAGTGGTAAGTACATTTATGATTTATGCTCAGGATACCACTTTTTAATTTTATCAATTTTTAAATAGATCTACAATCCCCGGTACAACGAAGATATATAGATTATACATGTGTAAGGAAATAATTATATTTCTTAGATTAGATTATTAAGAACTTATTTTGTGTTAGTTGACGTTAAATTTGTTTGTTAGTCTGTGGAAAAGACGCTAGTTTTGGCTTGTCATTTAAATTTTTATTCGAAGTTTTTTTGTTGAAACATTTTGGATTTTAAAGGAATTATATTAAAGTAATTGCTTTCCAGTAAAATAACAAACTCTAAATGCTGTTTCTATAAAAACACACATTTAAACAGTCATATATATGTAGATGACAATAAATGAATAAATAAAATAATTACCTACTAAAAACATAGGACTTTTAATCATAAAGCTGAGATACATATTTAGCCAATTATAAAAAAAAATATATGACTCTTCTGAATGGCTGTATAAATATTTAATTTCATACAATACAAATATTTAACAAAAATGAGAACTATGAATAAAATAACATTTTGGTATATTTGTGTTGGATTCCTAACGGGTAAGCCTGATTTAAAGAATTCCACTTTTTATATTTACACCCTTGACTTTCTCAATAACGTCATAAAGGGAAGAACCAAATGTAATTGTGTATTAGTTTTGATTTACAAGTGGAACTCCTGAATGTGGGTTGATGGTGCTGCAAGGTTATATAAACTTCACAATAAGCATTCTTCATAAAAAAAAATCCCCGTTTCTATATTCAAAATGTCAGTTGTGATTGCTACGGGATCTGTGATCTGTCTGGGATAATGTTATAAATATAATGCTTTCTAAGCGTTCGACAGTCGTTTTTTCTAAAAAATCTCGTTTCGTAATATAGCAGCAACTCCTATATAAATAAGTCGTTTCCTAAATATTATTTTATCTAATAAGGTAATAATCATACAAAATTTAAATTTGTATAGCTAAATTAAACTATTATGTGTTACTTCTTCACGACTTAATAACTCTGAATGAAAGCCATACGTAGCAAAGCTCAAAGTTAACAAAATCCACGCCTGCTAAATTATAATAATTAAAATGAACAGTTTAAATTAATTTAAATTGCTACATTGTCTAGTATGCGCGTACTGGGGTCATTAAACTTGACTGAACTACACGAAAATTTGGCTCCACTATTTCATTTGAATAAACACGGCTGAACTATTGTTACGTATGTAACACGTTGTTTTTGGGAATAAATACTATGAAAACTTGTACTCAGAGTAGTCCATTAAATTATCTTTAATTATATATAAATAGATTAAATTAAAATGACATTGTAAAGACCATAAAATTGGTTAATGAAGAAATCAACAATAGTATTATTTTTTCTCAATTATTTTTAATAGTTCTTTGTTTTAAATCAATGAAAGGCTTTTTTTTATTTATAATATAAAAATGTATAGTAGTGGTTGCCTGACAGAGATTGTTTGAAAATGACAAGGCCGCCAGTTGCACTCCTTTTTATATAATTATTTTAATTCTATTGTATTTCTGTATACTTGAAATGAAGTGTTCTGAAAAAATTTAAAAATATATAAGCGGTTTCTTATATTCTATTAAGCTGTAAAGTAGATACACAAGCAACGTTACGTACCAATACAATTGTATTACCATTTAACTATATATTATATTTTGTTAATTCCATATCGGAAATAACAAATCGTAAAAGAATTTCAGAAATCTCAAAAGTTGTTACATTATTCAATATAGATGATCGATCATATTGTTTCAATGGGATTTAGAGACTATCTATTATTTACAGTTGAAATATTATTTTGTTTTGACCTGTCTCAGCTTAGCACGGCTATATGGAGTATTATGTTTAATAGGAGTATTAAAAATATCCATAGCGCTAAATCACTGGCATCATGAGCACACCCCACATACACATTACACACCCTCACGTACATACCTTCACTTTCACACCATCATACACACACATAGCCAAATTAGGTAGGTATTACGTATTTTTTTTTTTAATTTTTGCGTTTTGTAAATATTTGATATTTTTGGTATATATTATGTTTTTCTTTGGCTATATGTTTAGTATAATTGCTTTTTGTTGTATATAATTTATGTTAGCTGTAGTAATACGAAATAGATAAATATAACTATCGTGAAAAGCCAAAACAAGCTTACTCAGATAATGTAACATTCTTTGTTATGAAAGCTTTGAAGTCGGTAAGTCGGTTTCTTTCTTACAAACACAAAAATACAAATCTTTTTTAATATTAGTATATATTTTATGAAATATTTTAGAAGATTAATTCGATTGAAACGTATGTTGACAAAAAAGCTTGTAGAGTGACTATTTAATTCTTAAGGAGAAAGGATATGGTATAATTTGTATGATTTATGTTAACGAATTACATAGGTTAAAGGACCTATTTAATTGCCTGTTCAGTGAACTGACAAAAGTTCTATTATTTGTTAGTGCCTATACTTAATTTATGTTTTGTATTTTTTTTTATTATGTAATTTTGTTTTTACCGGATTAAATTCTTTTTTGTTTCGTGTGTAAATTTTAGTAATGTGTTATACATTCTTGTTAATTTAGGGTCACCTATTAGGGCAGGATTGTTTTTTTCATTAATAAATAATTAAATTTCGGCTAAAACTCGTAAATCGAGATAGGTAATATGAGCGATCTCTCCAAAGCAACCATAGGAATGAAAATGATACTAGAAGCGCTACATGTATTGTATTCTTTAGATTTAAATTTTTAACTTACAATATTTGTTACAGGCGATGAGGGGAAAGTAGTTGAATTGACGTTTGTCGATATGTTTCATATTGAATATCATCCGCAGTGCACTTACGACTATTTAGAAGTAAGTATTCATATTTGATTATTTTCATTAGACATTACGGTGTCCGCTCAATGGTTTTCTTCACTGGCTTAGCTGCTTGGAGCTAAGAGGAAGTCGCAAGCTAGTGTAACTAGGCTCTAGGTTCGATTCCAGAAAAACAATAATGGAAGAGTGATGACAAACTAATTTTTTTATGAAATACGCAAAAACGTATTTACCCCAGTACCAAGACTCCAAGTGAAGACGCCGTAGTTAATATTTGTTTAACGTAAACCTATTCGCTTGAAAACTGTTGACATTACGATATTACTCCTATTAGTTTGCTTAATTTTTTTTTTTTTTTTTTATAGAACGGGGGGCAAACGGGCAGGAGGCTCACCTGATGTTAAGTGATACCGCCGCCCATGGACACTCTCAATGCCAGAGGGTTTAATAAATAAACGGTTTCTAAGATCTTTCCGGTTATTTGAAGTTTACTTATGATCTTTATACTAAATTTTAATCCTATTTTGGCTACAAGAAATTTTATTGCGATACATTTCTTAAAATCCAAGTTCTCATAAAGTATAGTCAACATGTTATTCAAAAAATATCTTTAGGAAGACGGATAGATATTTTTGGTTGTATATTTATAGGCTTATAAAACCGGCCGGCAACACATACGCGAGTCCTCTAGCATTGAAAGTGTCAATGACGGTATATATGAGCCTCCTTTTTGCCCCGGAATTGGGTCTGTCCACGGATCGTATAAAATATGAAATAAAAATGTAATATAGAAAGTAGTTGTTAGTATACATAATTTTTTTTTCAGATTCGTGACGGTCCGAGGGGCTACTCTAAATTAATAGATAAGGTGTGTGGGGAGGCATTCCCACGGCAAATACGTACGACAGGACCAAACGCGTGGCTAAAATTCCACTCCGACGACACAATAGAGTACGAAGGGTTTAGAATAGCAATCAATTTTATTGAATTAAGTACAAGTGGTACGTATATTTAAATAAAAAACATTCAAACAAAGCCTATGATTTTCGTATGTCCAAAAACGAAGTGGACGCGCGATGAGGCCTGTCGTACGTAAGGCGAAATCAGCCTGATTTTGCCTTACGTACGACTTACTTGACTTACGTTAGTTATCAGTCTATCAGGCTATATTGTAATATCAGTAATAGTTTAGCAATTTGTTGATAAAATGTTTCTTTATCGCAATAAAGCTGATTGATGTCACTAACACACATGCTTCAGTTACACACACACAAATGTAGGGTATGCCTGTTCAATCCCATTAATGTCGTCGAGTTTATTTTTCATATGTATGTAATTTAAAAATGATAATTAACGTACATAACTTTTTACGTGTTTACTGGCATGGTACATTGGCGTTGGCGAAGCGTTTTGGCGGGTTCTAGAAATTATGAATGTTTCATTTGACTTTTATTTGACGTTCGAAACGATTTTTATCTGTATCATTCCTAATTATAGGTATAATTATGATATTAAAAACTGTTTTTCTTGACCGATTTTTAACTAAATTTAAATTTACATACATATTATAAATTTATATGTTCATACAAAAAGTTAAATTAAGATAAATTTACAGTCAGTATACCAGAGGAATGTAATATGGTGGAAACAGCGAGGTTCGGTACCATAGACACGCAGAAAATCAGCGATAAGTGCAAAGCGAGCAGTTCTAATCAAAACCTTGATGTTCTGTGGACCATAAAAACTCCGGAGAATACCAAGGTAAGACTTTTTCGTATAAATTTCGACACTTAAAATTTATTTTCGAGTAATATTTATTTATTTTTAATTATAATTATTAATAGTCTTGGGTTATGATTTATATTGATTTTTTTTTATGTAATAGGAGGCAAACGGGCAGGAGGCTCACGTGATGTTAAGTGATACCGCCGCCCATGGACACTCACAATGCCAGATGGCTCGCAAGTGCGTTGCCGACCTTTCAAGAATTGGTACGGTCTTTTCTTGAACAGTATGGATATTGAATTCGGGCTTTATACGAGAAAAAGATGAGCACAGTTCGCTAGTCTCAAAATTGTTTTGTCGCCTGTCTTATTAATATAATATATAGTAATTTACTAATCATTTATCAAGGTGTAACTATAATGAACTTTCCTAATACCGAATTGATCTTTGACAGATTTACCTCAACTTCACCCAATACTCATTAGTTAAACCCAACGAATGTGAGGACAATGTGGTTCAGGTGTTCGGATATATATTGGAATATGAATCAAGGTACAGCTGCGCATAAAGCGAATTTACGTTTAAGAATTGTATTGCCTTGCGAGATACAACGTAACAAATAATAAATTGTTAAAGGCTTTCTGTCAGGTGTTTAAATATTTCGTTTCTAATATAATGATACTTAAAAATATTACATCTGATTCGGACGATCTAAAACAATTTAATTTGCTGCAATTCCGTTATAAATGGAAAAATAGTATTAATGATTACTAAAACTACAAATTAATTTAAACATATAATTTATAACATTATGTGGTGTTCACGAATTGTAATTTGTAAATAGACAATTTTAATATAATTTATTTGACCCCCTTTCGTATTGCAATAGATTCGTGTCAACATAATATCGTTATTATTGAATGACGATAACTTTCCTTTATGATGTGCTATTACGATGAAACAAAGCCATGGCTGGTCTTCGCAGTGTAGTTTCCATAGTATTCAAGAATATTACATATATATTATAAATATCCAATTCAGGAGGTTATTATAAAACAGTGCAAAATCTAAACAATTTTTTTAAATGTAATCTTAGTTGAAGTATATACCTACTTAATTTTTATTAAAATATTTTATGTTCTGTAACTTGGATATGTATTGTATACAAATATTTCTGCATTTGTTTTTCTTCCCTTGGTTTTATATTGAACCCGAAATATTATTTGCCAGAAATCATTCCAGTTTGTAATACAGCAATTTAATATAATAATATTTACAATATATTTCACTAGTTTCATCAGATAATTGTTACGAATTTAGAATGGAACAATATGATAATAAAAAATTTCACACAATTTGTTTTTACATGCGTAAATTTTTCTCTCTATTTAGCTTTTACTCGCGTCTTGTAATATGTACCTATAGTAGAACTACTTTCCAGACTCGCACACTACTGTGGCTCTGTAGCCAATCCGGTGACTACTAAAGGCGACGGGACTAAGGGCAAAGGAGATCGTGGCAATATTATGTATGTTCGTCTGTTCACCTCCAAGGCAGGCAAAAAGTCATCCTTCCAAGCTACATACACTGCGTATAGAAGTCTGGATCCGACTAAGGATGGTAATAATACTCGTAAAGTCCAGTGTCAGCAAGTTTCCATTTCCCGCTTGATCTCGGAACGTAATAGCTTTTTGACTCTTCACCGGAGAGCGACCTATTTGCGAATACTAAAATGTGATTTACGTATATATAGCAAGCGTTTCCCTTATTGGCAAGTACATTTAATTGTAAAATAATTATTGTCAGATGTAAATTAATAATAAATTATACTTATTTTTGACAGACGACTGTTCTATGTGTGTGTGAATCTTGAACGGTGAGATTATAAAACAAAAGAAAAGTGGGACGAAAAATAGTGTCGCTTGTTAGTGGAGTATGGAATTCGAATGAATCTTTCCATATAGGGGCCTCGTAAACCGCCGTACTACAGATTATAAATTAACTTTCTATATACGCTCGGAGCAAATCTACTTATATATTAAGAAAAATAAATGACCGCGACAAAATCTGAAGCCACTGTTATTTATAAGATCGGGATTAAATTTATAATGTTCTAGCGGATAACTTATATTTGCGTTAGGATAATATATGACGGAATAACTGGTTCCGTATTGTTTTTAGAAACCGTGACGTCAGCCGTGCTGACGTCATTTACTTCACTGGTACTTGTGTATTCCATAACGAAGATAAAACAATAAACTCAAATAACACAACACTTTATTTAAGTAAGAGATGTTTAAGTAATTTACACAGAGATGTCCACGGTACGAGCACTGGCAGACGAATGCCTTTTCACTCCAGTGCCCGCCCGTTTTATAGGCGATGTGGTAGGGCGGGAGCCGTGCGTCACTTGTTTACATTGTTCGGAGCAGGTGGACGATGACTCATACTTGTTTTGCGCCAATAACGCACGTGCACGATGACTCATACTTGTTTTGTTAGTGTTGCATTTTGACTTGCGCCGATACGACCATTCTGACCGGCAGTGCGCGCTCTGCACTAGCCGTGTTCTCAATGTCTTACTGATGACTATAACTGAAACAATTGGTTATTGTTCTCTTTTAAAATTGGTATCTGTTTTAATAAATTATTATGTTGATAATATTGTGGTATTACATGAAGTCAATCGTACACTGTGGTACTTTGTTGTTGCGTACACTGTGGTACTTTGTTGTTGCGTACACTGTGGTACTTTGTTGTTGCGTACACTGTGGTACTTAGTCGCGTACACTGTGGTACTTAGTCGCGTACACTGTGGTACTTAGTCGCGTACACTGTGGTACTTAGTCGCGTACACTGTGGTACTTAGTCGCGTACACTGTGGTACTTAGTCGCGTACACTGTGGTACTTTATTGTGACGTGTGTATGTGTGTGTTTAAATAAAATGTACTTAGCTTTTAATGAGTTGATCCCTGGGCTTGTTGTTCACCCATATTGGCTCGTGAAGTAGATGGTACAGGCTCATTGGCGGATGATGTAGTGTCATCTTCTTCTGCCGATACGGTTATTTGTTCACCAGGTTGAGGTGCTCTGCGAAGTTGATCATGAGCAACCTTTCTTGGACGTCCTGCGCCCACTACCCTTTTGACTAGATAGCGATCTTTATTCAGAATTCTTATTATCTCGTACGGCTCACTAAATTTTAAATCCAACGAGGTTTGGTTACGTGGATTATTTTTAATAAGAACATAGTCTCCACGCTGAAAATGATTAATTTTTGCTTTTCTTGAATCAAATCGTAGCTTGTCCCGCTCTGCATTATGTGTCATCTTTTGATGAACATGATTAGTAAGTGCTTCAATATCAATTGTCTGCTCGTCAATATCTACGAGTGTGAGTAGCTGAGGAGGAACGCAATGTCTGCGTTGAGTAAGCAAAGTGAGTGGAGCTACCCCAGTCACGCGGTGAGGAGTGCAGTTTAATGCCAATTGGAGTTCTTCAAGTGCCGTGTGCCATTCTTCTGTTTCATAATTTTTGATCATAACTAGAGCGTTCTTTACTGTAGCTACCACACGTTCCACTTGACCATTTGCTCGGCTGATTCCTGGTGCTATAGCATGAATCTCTATTCCTGTACGATCACAGTAGATTTTAAATTCGCCCAAAAACTCTCTTCCACCGTCAACTATGATTTGTATTGGAGCACCAAATAAGTGTACCGTACGTTTCAGTGCAGCCAAGGTACCGTGAGGATTCTTGTTGGTTGTGTGATATAGAAGTACATATTTTGTAAAAGCATTTATAGTTACAATAACGTACTGTTGGTTTTCGGATGTTCCCAATTTGCCAGTTATGTCCATATGGATAACTTGAAATGCAGTCGTTGGTTTCTGGATCGGAGTTTCATTACTGCTAGTAGTAGTTAATCCATGTCGTGATTCCGTTGTTTCATCAGGTTGTTGAGCGGTAGTGGAAAGTTATCCCACTTCTGATGACGGAATAACTGGTTCCGTATTGTTTTTAGAAACCGTGACGTCAGCCGTGCTGACGTCATTTACTTCACTGGTACTTGTGTATTCCATAACGAAGATAAAACAATAAACTCAAATAACACAACACTTTATTTAAGTAAGAGATGTTTAAGTAATTTACACAGAGATGTCCACGGTACGAGCACTGGCAGACGAATGCCTTTTCACTCCAGTGCCCGCCCGTTTTATAGGCGATGTGGTAGGGCGGGAGCCGTGCGTCACTTGTTTACATTGTTCGGAGCAGGTGGACGATGACTCATACTTGTTTTGCGCCAATAACGCACGTGCACGATGACTCATACTTGTTTTGTTAGTGTTGCATTTTGACTTGCGCCGATAATATAGTATTTGATATATTCCAGTATACTAATACATAAAAAGTGTAATAAACTGACATTTAAAATACTAAGCGGAATTTCCATTTTTATTGAAATGAATTTTCCTATTTTAAACTTCATTTTTAGCTACGGAGTATTCAGTTATCTTTTTTTATTACGTAAATAAAAACTTTTTTTAAATATTTTAAATACCTTGGCATACATAGGCTTTCAATAGAATGTAATCGGATTCTACCATGGCGACGAGGTTGAATGATTTGAAAGGTTTTTGATACTTTAAGAGTTTGTGGCGTTAATGATGTAGAAAGTGATTTTTGTCTATGTTCGATTCATTGAATATGCTTAAGAGCCTGTTGACGCCGTAGATTAAATATTTCAATAAGCACAAATAAAATACCCATAAATAAGACCTCAAACGGGAAAGACATCTAAAATTATTAAAATCGAAGAATTAATAGAATATCTTCTAATATATAAAATTCTCGTGTCACAATGTTCGTTCCCTCCTTCGAAACGGCTCGACCGATTCTTATGAAATTTTTATGCATATTCAGTAAGTCTGAGAATCGGCTACTATTTATCTTTTAAACCTCTAAGTGATAAGGGGTGTCCACCTCAATTTTTATTTTTTAATTTTTTTGTTTTTGTTTTTTTATGATACAACATACAACCCCTAATTTTCACCCCTCTATGATCAATACCTTTTTTTATTATTGTAGCTAGTAATTTTTATTGAATTAAAAAAATGTTTCCTAGAAGTAATATACATGGCAAAATAAACGTTTTCCGGGTCAGCAAGTTATGTTATACAAACACGTAATTGGTACCTATACTCCGTATAATCTACAGAAAGGTATTTATTCCCAAGTGTTCCCTTATCAAGCACTCTCAAGGAATCATATCTTACTTCGAATCACTGTACACATCAAGTAATCTTCTTAGAGCGCTATTGATTGAGCGGCCTTGGATTTTCACTGTTATCATTGTAAAATGTAATATAATGTGTGCTTCTAGAGAAATGCGACCCTGACACAGAGTTCAACTGTGAAGATAACACATGTATAGACAAGTTGTTAAAATGTGACAAAGTAGCGCACTGTCGACTGAAAGCAGACGAGGAACACGACGACTGCAAGGTATGTGAAGATTCTTAGTTCAAGCTTACTATGACCGTTTTTGATTCCTAAATTGACTGAAATCATGAAAATTAAATCACCGGACGTCGAGGCAGAATACGAAATTCCACCCGTATCACCTCGATCAATAAATGAGCGTTTTTTAAGGCAGTTTTTGCCACCACTATGTGGAACCAGCTGCCCACTGAAGTATTTCCGAAGTAATTCGACTTAGGGACCCTAAGAAAAGAGAACCAATCCTTAAAATACTGGCAACCCTCAGGCTTTGATAGTGTCCATGGGATGCGGTATCACTTCACCGGTGAGCCTCATGCCCGTTTTCCCCATTTCTATAAAAAAAAACAATTGAAAAATTGTTGCTTAGAAATAGAGGAAATGGCGGTCGTAATATGCTTTAGCAACTGATTTCTTACTGATGTATGGAAGCGTTTTGTACTTTCGAAATATATTTTAGTTTGAGAGAATGTTTAGCAATTGCATTGAATAATCCAGTACCTACGTGACGTGAGTTACGGGGATGGTGATTGGATTGGTGTAGTTTTATTGACTATCCTATTACTTACGCAGTATTATTATAAACTACTTTCGCGGCTTAGAACTCCATGGCATTTAGAACTAGAGATCAGTGATGATTTCAATATATTGCTAGGCGTAAAAAAATTATGGAAATCGCAGAAATGTTTCTGCCCCATTGTGCTATAACGAATCCTCAAGCATATTCCCTTCGCTGTAGGTTTAATTGTGTTATTTAATATATTGCTTATAACAATATAATATAAATACACTGAATATCATACAAACTAAAATAATATACATTGAAAAAAAAATAACTTACCTTAAAATATAATAACTTAAATAATATACATTGAAAAAAAATAACTTACCTTAAAATATAATAACTTAAATAATATACATTGAAAAAAAAATAACTAACCTTAACATAAACTAAAATATATTATTAAAAGGAGTCCCTTTAGGCAAGGTTCCGAAGATACTGGCAGCGTTCCCCCTTTGAATCGCTAGACTAATTCTTTGTCCGAGGTAGCTGCCAGATCTTCGGTCTCCTGTGATGTCGACTAAACTTTTTGATATGTCTTTACAAAGCCTTAAAGCGCTAAGAACCCACGGACCAAGGGTCTCGACACCGAATGGGACAAAATCATATTCTGAGCCTAGACCCCTGTATTTGCATGAAAATAATAATATAATTAAATATATATTGCTTATAATATATTTTTAATTATGTATTGCACTAAAGAACGGTAAGTTAAGAATAAATTCTTAATAAACGTATCTAAGAATGATTGGAACAGTCCTTAAACATCTTTAGAAGAGTATGCAACATTTTCATGAACAAAGACTTATCGAACAAGTAATTTTCGACAATGTGCCAACGAAGAATAGTAATAAAATAAAGTATAGAGTATCATTTTTATGATCTCACTTTGAGGGACGATTCGTTACGACTCATAACTTGGTCTTTATCTCAAGTGATCAACGAGACTAATCTGGATTTATCAACCTCTTCTGATTTCTCGATATACAGGGAATACGTTCTGCCATGAAAATTGTAATGTACTAATGGAATGTTTTGTTCTGAAAATTGCGTATGGCGTACACCAATAATTGGGGCGTACATCAATCTTGTACACGAGGTCTGTCATCACCCATGTGTTTATTGCCAGTTCTTTTTTTCCGTTCTACGCACTTGATTTGAGAACTGGCTTGTAAATTTAGAAGCATTTTTTTGACCACTTACTTATGACTTATGTACACTTAGTGTGCATTGTATTACCAATATGAATAAAGGATTTTGACTTTTGTGTATTTAGAGGCATTTCGTATGAAAATATATGATTCATACTAGACTTGAAATAATAAACCTATTATTAGATATAGTTTGTTTTTGGACAACAAAATTATATTCATACCATAGAAACAAACACAAAATGCTTTAACACTTATATAGTTTAATTAATTAATTGTCACACATTTTAGATGTAAGATTTTGAAAAATAATTAGTATATATAGTATTAATAATAATTAGTATATTATATAGTATTAATAATAATTAGTATATATAGTAGTTATCAGCGTGCGTGCGTCACCGTGACCACGCACGCTGTAAAGCACGCGAAACGTCGGATAAATTTAAAATTATGTTAAATAGTTGTAAATTTATAATAATACATAACTTCAATCCGGTCAAAATAGTGTTTTATTAAATGAATAAAAGTTATGTTAATCAAAGAAAATAATTAGTAAATTTAGGACTGTGTGTGATGTCGTAAGCTTAATAACTAAATAAATAAATAGTTGACAACACAAAAGTTTTATACAACTAAATACAAATACAATTTATAAGAGTAATTTGAAATGGATATTTTATCATTGCTGTCACATACAAAATAGTGTAAATTGTATTACGTAAATGATTTAATAACATTTTGATTTGAGTTAATAAAGGATATGTGTGTTTATTTCCAATTAAATTAATTAATTAATTATGTTTAGATGGAAGCCGAGTCAACGATAAAGCAGACACACATCTTGGTGATTCTCGTCATATTTTCTCTCATCCTCTCTGGAATGACGTTTGTGTTCCTGTTCAAGTGTATCCGGAAGCTGTATGAGGACCACAAGATTATCAAGGTAAAAATAGTTCTTAAAACAGCAGGCGCTGATATTAATATCAATTTTGACATTGGTTAGAAAATCATAAAATATTTTATTCGTTGGTTAAAAATGAATACGGAATGGCTTTAGTTTCTGATTCAGTGATGCAAATCCACTTTACTTAATAACCTAAAATGTATAAAATTGTGGAATATTATTTTAGTAAGCTTTATTAAACTTAACAACTATATGAAGCCAGTGTAGTCGATTTGTATTTAATTATATAATAATCAATCTGTTATTTTGTGCATATATAATATTTTAATTTTGTATTGTTTGAAATAGATTTCCGATAAAAATATTTATTTTGAAACCAGTTCTTTAATAGATAAATTATAAAAATATGGTTATGCCGTTTATGAATCTAAAGTCTAAACTAATGGCTTTTTAATACCACCTAAAAAACACAAACATACATCTATACACCTTGCACATTCTTTTGTTAGTTTTTGTAATTATAAATTGTAAATTACCTTATGGATTGAAGCTGTGAATTATCAATAAAGTGTTAAATTAAATAAATTTATAACTTAGAGTGAAAACTCGTTGATATTTACGTGTTAATCGGCAAATAATTTTCCCTCTGTAGATTTTCAAAATATCAAGTAGCAAGCAAGTAAATATAAAATATATAAAAAGTCTTTACTTAATTTTTTTCGAAATAACTAATGTATAAGCAAATAAAAGCCGCAACGGTTTTAAATAAAACAGCATCTTCAACGGCGAATTTATTGCATTATTTATAAATCGTTTCGAGAGCTTTTAGCAATTGTGGCCAGTGAGACCTCTCGCACTCGCAAGGCATAACACATACATATATATTTATTAACAGAACTATACCCATTTTTAATCCAATTTCCATTTAAATATAAAAATACAGTGTCACTTTTGTCACTATTATTTGAAGAATAATTGGGAATGAACGAACGAGAATATATTTTATGGGCGGGAGGCAAACTAGCAGTCATCTTAAACTTGCAAAGTGCTTACCACCGCCCATGGACACCAGGAACTTTGCAAGTGCGTTGCCGGCCTTTAAGACCTCATGAAGGCCTTTAAGTCGAAATGAATGTAAAATGATTGTGTTTGTATTTTCTTTACATATAAATGTGTGTGTGCTAATCAAATAAAGGTTTTTATTTCTTTCTAAAACTGAAAACTTCATTAGGTTTTGTTAATTTTTTTTCTTATGCAAACGAAACCACGGTCAATGGCTGGTAATTTCATAAAAGTTATTTTACCAACTAAAACTGTCAAGTTCGTAACAGTCTATTGTGATAGAAACTAATTTGCAACTTGCTTTACATTACAAACGCAAAACTTTACCCCTTGAGACCAATTTGTTATATTCTATTTTGCATAAACCTTACAAATATTTATATTGTAACTGGCTTGTTTTACATCAACAAGGAAATATCTATTAGTGTTACGGTAATGATAAAGTGCCATTTAGACGGTCCAAAGACTTTTCAACTGTCAAGCCGCGTTCTTAGCTGGATAATATGCAAACATGTACGTAGTATATTAGGTCCTTACATAATATGAAATATCTCCTCGTTGGTTAGGAATTCCAAATTCAATTTTTACAGCTATTTACTCGTGCATTTGTTTTTCGAAAACCATGATTCATTTCAACTTCCCGTTTTACTTTTTTTCTTTGCATTTTATGTTTTATAAAATGGAAAACATGAGATCTCGTTGCTTACGAGTACGAGATCGATGCGGCAGTCGAAACCGCCTTCATAGATTTTATTGATTCCGAATTTTAGTAAAGGGATCAATGAACTACCTGTAAGATGGCAAACGTGCATAGATAGCAATGGTACATACATTTGATACACACACACACAATTTCATATGTAAGAACCTAATATATAAAACAAAGTCTCGTTAGTTAACCCATTTTAACTCGAGAACGGCTGGCTTTTTTATGATTGTTGTGTTTTTGGATTTGTCTTCGTCTGGAGTCTTTTGAATAAAAAAAATATAACGGACGGAAAACCATAAGCTTTATTTGTTCTTGCTTTTGATATCATGTGTAATCATGTATCAAGTCATTAAAGTAATTTATGTTATATTTAATATCTGCTCATTTGTTGACTGTTAGGTGTAACGAGGTTCGCCGGCTTGTTAGTAATAAATAGGATGCGCAATTAGGCCATAACCATACCGACCCAGTATGTCGTTTATAAATCAAGTCAAGTCAAATCATTTATTCCAATTAGACCACCTAAAATGGAACTAAAATATAAAGATGATTCTAGTTGCCCCTTCCAAATGGTAGTGTCGTGTGGATAAGAATGGGCAAGAAACTCCACACTTACTCTTTTAAAATAGGTTTTACAATACTTTGTATACATTAATTAAATAATTATATGTGAAGACAATGTACTCTTAGTATAAAACTACTATACTAAAATAGGCACAAAGAATTACTTACAAATTACAATCATTAACTTTTGACCGTTAAAAGTCCCAAAATGCTCTCTGAAAAATAACTAAAATACATTTTAAACCACTAAACGATTTTCTTCGGTAAACAATTATTTAAATTACTCTTTTAGGAACACATCCGTCAATCCTGTGAAGACCGGCTGGATAGCCTGGTAACCAGTCGCTTAACCCTCGATGCAAAACGTCTGCAGCGGGATAGTGAACCCAGGGCCAGCCTGGAGAGAGAGAATCACACCAACGAAATGTTCAAGCAACAGAGAAAATTCTCACAACAGAAGATAAGAGTAAGCATAAATACAATACAATTACTGTACATTCATAAGTGTCATAATTTATAATTCGTAACCGTTCGTAATAATTTGTTGCCGAGAATGTATAAATATTTTAGTTGGAAGTCTTTAAAATTAATAACAATAGACTTTTTCTGTTCGAGTTTCTGTTTCTGAACTAACTCAACAATAGATGTTTAGAGTAAATGGAAACTTATACTAGTATTAATTATCATACAATTTCAGAAGTCTTAAGTTTTTTTAGAAAACCGCATATTACATTACAATAACCAACATTATAAATATTAATAAGGCATCGTCCCTCCCTTCCTCTGTTGTTGAAAGGTGGCCTTACTGTTATCTAAACCTAATAAAAAGGAATCTAATAGAATGCCACAGGAATATTCACACTTGGAGTCGATAGGACCGGTGTTTGGTTTATGCGAGTGGCGCCAAGTAAAGTAATAAATCATCATCATGAGACGACTCATTGGTCTAGTGGTTAGTACCCCTGACTGCGAATCCATGGGTCCCGGGTTCGATCCCCGGCTGAGACGAACATCGATGTGATGAGCATTTGGTGTTGTGCTTAGGTCTTGGGTGTTTAAATATGTATTTATATGTCTATCTATCTATAATATGTATGTATATCCGTTGCCTAGTACCCATAACACAAGCTTCACCAGCTTAGCATGGGACTAGGTCAATTGGTGTGAATTGTCTTTAAAAAAAAAAAAAAAATCGTCTACCAAATGCTGTCCTCAATTTTGGGACAGTATAAGTTTAAGTATATTATTCTAAAACATTTGTACTATTTAACTCTAATACAATGACATTTTTATCTGAAGAATTAATAAATTCACAGCCAACCAGCATCGACTCCGACTTCATCCAAGAAACCCACCTCGACATGGAAGACGAACCTTGGAGACGAGATGTAGAAACGGAGACGGAAGAAGTAAAAATAGAACGCAACGGAAAGAGGCGTAGTGACATCAGCAGAAGGGAGGAGTCGCTGAGGAAAAGAGAGGAGTCAAAGATGAGGGAAGAGGAGAGGAAAAGAGAGATAAGAGATGTGTCGGTCGGTGCGCCGGATACAAAGGAGTCTGCCTGTCAGACCAGGGAGAGTTTGTTTCAAGCCGAAACTGCTTTGAGTTCAGATGGTAAGCTCTTTCAAGTTTTTGTACAACTTTGTTTTATAATATGTAAAGATGTACTTTTTGGTTTTTTTTTACTTATATATTTTACACATTAATATAGTAAAATCATAATATGTTACATTAGAAAACCACTGTGGTTTTTATAAATGCAACCATAGCAGTCTTGTTTAAGAACGCGACAAATGCATATAAAAGTAGCTTTTCATCTTACTATTTATGTTGGTTAACGTTATCTAATAACTGATTGGGTAGTCCATTTATTAGCCGCAGTAGCAAATACCTCAACGTTATCTCACCATATACGTTGTTTGCTCTCGATGTACAGAACCGAACGCAAGTTAGGCGTCAGGCTTAGGTTTCAGACACTCGCGCGAAAGTCTATTTAATGTAATAAAACCAGTATTTAAAAAACCTTTTTTTTTTAATGGCTCTGGCACGATTTGTGCATTAGCCAGCGTCAAGTATAGGATTTTTTATAATTCGTGCTTGTCTTTAGAAATTCGACCGTGTCCTTCATGTACGGTTTAAGCACTCGCCCGGTACCGCACAACCCTCCCAAAGGCCGAGAACAAATTTAATTAAATTAAAACTTGTCCTCGAACCGGAAATCGAACCCGGTACCCCTCACCTAGCTGCCACTTAATAAGACCGCTAGGCTATGAGGCCCCCCTTAAAAACCTTTTCACTTTACTATCCTTAACAAGTACTTAAATCATAACATCCATCAATTGTCTTAATTGCTACTATAATAAAAGCGAAGTTATTTTTTCAATAATTTTCTGTAGATAATCGTAGCAGATAGTTTTATAAGCCATCCAAATATAATTGATTCCTTTATTTAGTGTTAAATTTTGTCTAAGTAAGCGACTTCGATAGCACTTAGAATATAACCGTTTTAGGTAAAAGGTACATATTTTCACGTTCATAAGTGTACAACAACCTTTATGAATAATTAATAGTGAAGTGATTATTGAAAATAAGTGAACTCAAGAGAACTTTACATTAGAATGAGTTCCAGTTTCTAACATCTATTTTGTACGCGTCATAAATTGGATATTTTCGAAATTCAAAGCGCAAACTACAAGTTCTGTTACAAACTCGGTTTGATCGAGAACAACCTGCAATTCATCAATTTAGTTTGACAGAACACTTTGATAACTAATAGATACGATTTCATCTGTGTTACATTCATTTATGTACCATTATATATCATTAATACGAAACATAATAACAAGTCGGTTATATAAATGATTTATTCGAATAAGCCAATGGGTAGCAAAACAATTAAAATAAAACTAAATATTTTATTTTAATATTATTTATATAATATTTTATTAAAATATATTAAAGTAAAACTACTTAATACAGCTCACTCTATTAGGCATACTCTATTTAGCTAAAATAGTCGTGCTACCATATCATATAGGTGTAGACTGTGTATTCAACAATAAGTTTTCATAACATATTTTGTATTATTATTTGTTAATATGTATTATAAAATAAGTTTCGCACTTATTATTTTTACTATTCTATTTTTAGATAGGCTGAAAGATATAGCTTAGTACCGATAAGACCACCCGTTGCACCTTGTTTTTTTTGTCTAATTCTTTTATATGTAATAAATATCTAAGAGTCACTTTTGGGTCTAATATATGTCGGTGTCTCCTATGTCTTCCTTCACCTTATGAGCAAGCGTTAAAAATTTAAATAGGTAATCAGCCTACCGATCATTTAGCCGAAAATCGAACATAAGGCATTATTATATAATTTTGTTATATGTAAATAAATAAACATCTCAGCGTCAGTTCTGGGTCTAAGGCTTGTCTTCACTTTGTTTTCCTTCACCGTATGAGCAACTGTCAAATACACACATAAAAATAGGTAATCAGCGGTGGTGGGTCGGTAAGCCAAATATTTATTAGCCGAAAATCGAACATAAAGGCTATATTCGATTATCTATATGCGAATGCCACAGCGGCTGTAAACAATCATACAGCTAACAGCAGTTCTCGGAACCCTCATACAAGTTTGTAATCGACAAAGCGACAACACTCGCAATGAACTAGTGAATTGTTTGATGCAAACACTAGTTGCAATTTGGAACAAAAGTTTTCATTTAACTTCATTTTAACTCGTAGGATCGACCTAACAAACAATATTTCTATTTTGCCATAAAAATATTTATACTTTTAATAATAACCCTTGAATATTTGTCGATTTATAGCGATATTGGCAAATCAAATAAACTACTTGTGTTAACAGTTTTAAACCGATTTGGCTTTCACAATGGGCGTGTTTGGCCGAAGTAAGTACTTACTAAACTTAGTAAGCCAGTAAGCATAAAAAAATTAAAGTCTTACAAGCTGACTGTAGCGCTTTTCGGCCAGGACAGACTTACTGGCTTATTAACATAACACAAAACACCGGTTTATGTCATATCCCGTACATATCTGAACAATGACAGGTCTGTTCCTGTCCGTTTTGTTTACATCAACAATAAGCAAAATGGCGTCGTATATTAAGCCATACTTACTGCGTTAGCACTTATTTTGTGTCCCGGCCGAAAATTTTGTAAGCATAGTAAGTGACTTACTAAATTTAGAAAGTACTTACTTCGGCCAAACACGCCCATTGTTAATTTAAAAGCGCTGTGACAATTGACATATAATGACAAGGGCAGCTGACAGTAACGCCATTGCATACATATTGGTGAATAACACCAAAAATCTAATCTAATAATCTAAGGGTTTGACCTTGGTGCCTGAAGGGCTACACCACAGTACAAATCTTAAATTACTTATAAACTAAAGAGTTAAAAACAAATACAATCATTACAAAAAACGAAACGAAAACATTACAACAAACAGAGAGAAAAATGAAACGATTGTATACCTTATAGATAATATTACATCACTCCAAAATGTATTGAGCCAAGCAATCGCATCCCAGTTTGGCTAAAGACTACCTTTTACCCTTGCAATTTATAAGTTATTTATGACTGTTAAATAAGCAAATTTTTAATAGATATATATACAGGGTGTCCCAAAAGTCGACGTCAAGTCGAAATTTTCTCATAGGTAATGCCACACCAGTTATCAGAAAAATTTAAAAAAAAAAATTAAGTCATGTATTTTTGAAGTTATGGAAATTTTCCTTTTATTCCAGAAAATGTACACCATGTGACAGTTTTTTCATACCTGTTGTTACAAATATTTACTTTTTGCCAATTTTTTTTCTCTTACGTCATCCCGAATAGTGCTTTATGTAACCTATGATCCTAAACCCTGTGCCGATCACTCCAACTTGTAGGAAAATGTAATTTTATACCGTACCAAGTTTTCAAAATTAATTTTTCGCACTAGTTCAATTGATCGTCCTGAAAAAAAAATGTACTACTCCAGTTTGGCAAGCAGCTTTAAAAGTTCGCGCATTTAATTAGGATTCTAACGAGGTGTAACACTTACTTCATTATTTCTTAGATCGGCCATAAAAAAATTTTTTGTTAAACAAAGTCTGTTTTTAAAAATTTCTCTGGAATTACAAAAAACGATTCTAGTGTACCCAAAGCGTTCCTAATAACCACAGCGTGGTTTAAATAAGATGGAGAGAGACATTCCATAAAATGTGAGCGAGACAGATAGTGACGCTTATGAAATACGGACGCAAATAAGTAAAATAGACAGTTTATTTTTTATGATTAGATTTATTACTTTTTTTATAAAAGATGTTCAAATTGCCGTCCTTCAGCTGCAATACAGGCTCGACATCTCCTTAAAAAAGATCGTGAAATGAAGCGGGCAAATCGTCCATTATATAAACTATTTGATACATTCTCTAACTCTTATCCGATGTTTGGAATCGATAAAAATGTTATTTGTCGAAGCCAATGTTCCGTGGTAAGCTGTCATCAGGCGTTCGGGGAGCGAGAACAATAAAAGATAACTTCACGAGTTATCTTTAGACTTATCTTTGGGGATTTGTGATATCGGGACTTGCTTATCGGGTTTTCATTAGATTCCGGGAGGGTTGCGATCCAAAATTTATCTCTAGAATTTTTTTGGTCAGGTAATAAGTAGTCCGACTAAAGAAGGAACTAAACGTTTAGGAAACGTCTCGCATTATTAAGGACTGCCCTGCAATTCTGTAACTCACTTTTCGAACTCACACAGCGGTTTTCGCATCGGCGGTATTTCTGAAATCAGTCGTCAAGCAGTCTTTTTTATGATTTGGCATTCTAATAAACAATAAACTACAAGCTCCCAGCTTTTCAGAATGGCAAATCATAAAATGACTGCTTCACGACTGATTTGAGAGCGACCGCCGGTGCGAAAACCGCTGTGCGAGTTCGAAAAGTGAGTTTCAGAATCGCAGGGCAGATATGGTCGCCAAACTCCAAAAAAGTACATAGTTTCTTTCTTCTCACTCCATTTTTTTGTAATCGTTGAAGTAGGGCAAATGGAAAAAATATATGGTGGAGTTGAGTAGTTTATGTATCCATTTTGAAACATCAATACACGATTCAAATAACTTCGCTTGATAGAAAATCCAAACACAGCCAATTTTTGACACTTTGAATCATTTTATGACGAAAATGTATATAGAACATGATTTTTAAATATACACGATATAGTTTATCGCAAGCCAAATAATCCATTTCAGAAAAGAAATGATAAAATTACATTAATTTAATGTTATATAACTATTGTTATTGTTGTTTATTTAATGTTATTTCGGACGCGCGTGCCTCAGTGCTCCACTGCGCCCCGCAGTCCACCTCGAGACACTGACACAGCAATTCGTACTGGGATAGGGCCTTAAGCCGATGTCTTAGTTTGTTACTTTTTTTATAGAACAGAAGGCAAACGAGCTGGAGGCTCTCTTGAAGTTATGTGATACCGACGCCCATAGTCACACTGCCAGAAGGTTCACAAGGCCTTTTCAGAATTGGTAAACTGTAACTGTAAACTTTGAAGCATTTACATTTAAAAAGACTAATGTGCTTTAGAATCATTAGGGTGAGATTCGGGACTTAGCTGTATGACTAGTAAAATGTATGTCAAAAACGTAGTGCATTTTGATAAAAGCGGATCACGCTGAGTTTTACCCTGAGACACAAAGAAAAGTATTTCCAAAATTATAAACACTAATAGTAGTATTTATTAACAATATATAGAATATCTCTTATAAATAATTTTGACATATACTTTGCAAAAGCTTTCTTAGGACGCGCAGCTTCCGGCTTCAAAATCGCGTTAAAATGCTTTTAGTGGAATACGATTTTTAAATGGATAGAAATGAAATTTGAATTTACTTTTCAAGATTGACTTCTCTTAACAGTTATTGGTGCTTAAGAGTTTTTTTCACTAATATTATATGATTTATTAATTAATCTAAAACTCAGCCATACTAAGCCAGTTATGTAAAAAAGGCGTTTGTACTGCACTTATTTAGATTTCTTAGGGTTTAGCTTCGAAAATTTTCGTCTTTACAAGCCTCTATACAGAAAACTGATGCTGCACACAACATGGACCTTTCCATTGTAAAAGTAAAGTAACATAATGTTCCTTTCGTAAGTATTTATATCCTTTAATAATATCTCCTCCACCTTTTTAATTAGAATACTCATGAAATTCTTTCGCAGAGATCGAAGTTTGTTAAGTCAAAATGTATGTCACTCGCCAAAATTATACAAACCTTGGCGACAGGGCAAAGCCCCTATTAATAAAAGACAGTTCCCTTCAGTATTGGGAGCAATAGCACAGCATTGACACGGTAGCCTAGTTCGTAGAGTGACAAAGTGCGAGTTATCCCAGCCAAGACGAGCGTCTCTAGGTTTAATTAATATATGTATTTGGTATTTAGAAATATTATCATCTTGAACCATTTTGTTTAGTTTCGCTTAGATTAAACGCATTTTCCAAGGCGTGAAAATATTAATACCTCGTTTAAAAGTAGAAGAACCGACGGAGACGCATCTCTTTATTTTTTTTTAACTCTGACCTTATGCTCGAAATTCATCACTGCGCCCTATAGCGCAGGCTGTAGCTTCGATACCCCGGGAGCAATTATTTTGGCACATGTATAATAGCTTTAAATTTAAACTTCGATAATATAATTTCGAAAAATATTGTATAACACGGTAAAATTCAATCAAAATTCAATTTCCGTTATTTAAGAATTTATTTTTTAAACCTACAGAAAATAAATCGAAATCAATATTATTCCATTTCATTAGACAAAGGACCTGAATATCAATCAAGTACCCTCTAATAATTTCAAATATTATAAGCTCCTTTGATTTGCGCAATTGACCCTCTTTTATTTGCTTTTTCATTTATTTCACATTTTTATGATAAAATTTCAAAATAAAAATCTGTTTCATGATCATTTGTTAATCTAATAGACAAGTATGTGATCAGCCTCCGTCGACTTTTTGGGTCTAAGGAAAGCCGGTTTCCTCACGATGATTTTCCTTCAGCGTTCGAGTGAATGTTAAATGCGCACATAGAAAGAAAGTCCATTGGTTCACAGCCGGGGATCGAACCTACGACCTCAGGGATGAGAGTCGCACGCAAGCCACTAGGCCAACTCTGCTACTGATATATAAATAAAATTAACTTATTTATTTTAGTAGTATACCAAATTGTATTTTTCAAGTTAAACTTTTATAATAAACCAAACTTCTATTTTGCAGGTTCTGGAACCACAAATAGCCGAGGCTTTTCAACGTTCGGTTATTCCGGGGCTACTATAGTTAGGCCTTCGCCACCAGCGCCCACTAACACGTCACAAATTACAATAGAGCTTCTAAGACAGGCCACACCTCAAGAAACCAAATTACGTACGTATTGTTACGTTTACGTGTTGTATTGTATACGTATTGTTGCTAAATATAATTTGGTTTAACTAGCCTTCAATTTGGCAGTTTCAGTCGTGTCGTGACCTTACCAAGGATGAGAAGTAATATTTCTTTTGATCCTATATTCATAAAAAGTAGTTTGGAGAAGCAAAAAAGATTTTCCTATTGTGAACTAAAAGTAAAATGAATTTACATTAATACAAGATTCATATCAATGCATCTTAATATATACAAAAAATATTCGCAAAGGAATCTAAACTCGACAAATTGCAATTTCCTTTCATCCAACGAAAATCATTTTGATTGAAGCAGCTTCCCTTTTCATTGAAAACAGGAAGATTCTAGCGGAAAAATCCCTATATTTCTAGATTATCAAAAGTTCACACCTACTTGAAAATGCACCTATTATGTATATAAAAATATTGCACAAATTTAGTCAATTTAAATTTGCTTGATCAAAGATGTTGTTTACCTGCGAATATATACAAATGTGTATGAACAAAGTGTTTATTGGCTAATACATACGCTAATACATACGCGAATATTACATAGCAGTCCGCCAAGAAATTACTGGATTATCGATAATGGAAGTTATCACTGTGGAGGCATTTTCATTTTGTTTCATGATCGTATTACGCATAACAAAATACGCTATTTGCCTATCGCAATAGATTAAGATTAAATTATTACTTTTGTTACGACAAATGACTAAAAACGGCTTTGAAACCTTCACAAACATACACATCAATAAGAAAGCTTTTTCGGATAAAATTGTAATCCTTTCCCTTTTATTGATAAACATTATATAAGCCCCTATAGCTATTGAATTTTGTCTCTCTCGTGTAACATAAATAAATAAATATAACAATATTCCTTGACAAATTCTAGTTAAACTCATAAACATCCTAATACATTTGATACTTGATTATCAATATTAAATGTTTCTATTTGAATCTCGTATAATCAAACAAAAAAATAATAATTATCAAATTGTAATCCCAAATAGCTATTGAATTGTATCTCACTCGTAAAACTTTGTAAATAAATAAACATGACAAAAAATTCCTTCACTTGTGGTCATACGGATAATTATAATTCAAATCTAAAAAAGGTCTAGTTTTTGCTTTCTAAAAACCATTATAACTATTTATAAGGTTCATAAAAACAATCTTACAGTGCTCGCAACTTTCGCTGGTATTGTTACATTACAAAATCAAAGAAAGCCTCTCCAAAACATTATAAAGCAAAATTATGTAGCTATTATAAATCACTGCCTTAATATAAAGCGACCCATGGATATGTTTTATTCCGTTTAATGTATCGCGGGCTATAATCCTATTAGGTGCGCCTGTAAGCCCATATTGAGATAGTTTTAATCCGAGTAATAGCTCTGCTGTTTTAACTGGCGCGCTAACTTATATAGTTTTGATATTATATCGTTAAATATTTGTGCTTTACTATTCAATTCAATTACTACGTTTTAGGACTAAACTGTAACAGGGAAATTACTTTTTATATTTATGTACCACGAATAATATTTAGTCATTACTAATAAATTTAGTCTAGCTAGAGTTTTTAGCTGCGATGATGTTTTTAGCTCGTTTAACTTAAGAAGAGGGTTTTTTAGATTAAACATGATGTGCTTTCTTATATCAAAAGTGGTTGCAGAAAAAACAACCTAAATTCCTAAAGTTTGCCGACAATGATCGTATATTCATAACTTCCTCATTCATCATCAGGTCATTTTGACACGGTCAAAACTTTCTATAGCTTTGCAGTGGATTTATTATGTAATATTTACAGAAAAGAAAATCAACGACCGCCGTCCAATGAGCACTGAGACCACGCGATCCGCGCCTGACGTCATCATAGTCTCAAAACCGGTTCGCTGAGGATGACCGTCGGGGCCCCACCCCGGGGCCCCGACACCCCCCTGGTACTCCCCCCCGCAGGAAGCCCGCACCTGCCCCGAGGGACAGCCCTGCAAGAGTGCGTTTGACATTTGTGACGGTTATTACAGCCAGTACTTCAACGACGGACCAATATACGAATACTGCTTGAATAGTGATTGCAAATCGAAAACACTGCCACGTAATTTTTCATCTGTAGATAGTAAGAGGAATAGGAGTGTGTGTTTCTATGGAGTGGACGATACGCCTAGGAAGAAGACGTTTGTGGTTCGCGCGGACATCGAACCTAGATAACAATAGATTAAGGTGATGCCACGGGTGTTTGGTTACTGAACTGAAAGAAATTATTCTCTAATTTGTCGTATTGTATAAAGCCAATTTATTTATTATGAATAACTTTAATTGTAACCCAAATATAATAACTGTTTTCCTTTCAAATAGCTGTATTCAAACAGTAATATGAAAGGCCAAATATTTATTATTGTATAAAAATACACGTTGATTGGTTGTTGTTTTGTATTCAAACCTTTAATGTAAATAAATGATAATTTGACTGTATATAAGATGTTAATTTTTCCTTTATTATATTTAAATTATTAAATCTCTGACAATTATTATGAATAATCCAAGTATGTAATAAATACTCGTGGTAAATAATATAAGTGTAGGACGCTTTTAAATTTTAAAATTACAGCTATATTAGATTGTTGTTTTTTGTGTTTTTAATAAATCCATGAATTTTTAATACCAGTATTATTTTTAATACCTTCTCGTTAAAAGCTGTCTTAATATGAGATGAAACAACGCTTAAAGCCAGGCCTCTTGCCTGTGTGTCCTTTGTCTTTAAAAATATGTTTAATGAAGAATTTCCAGTATTTTTGGAGTGTTTCTATCCCCTAACACTATTCTAGACAGAATAGTTTATTCTGGGGTTCGAAAACCCATACTTAATTGTATCAGAGATACGTCTAAATGAGGACACAATTTATTGCATCTGTGTGACAAATTTACTAAAACTTTTTACAGACAATAAGACAATTACTTATTCAGTTAGTAATCAAGGACCATGTAAGTCAAAACGACGACTCTACCCCTAAAAGCCTATTATCTTTTCCAAATTGCTCTCGACTCTAGATTGAATCAAAAATATCACAAAGGGTTAACTTTTAATTTTACTTCAAAGGGAAAACTTCTTGAATTCGAGATATGTCTAAGGCTGTTGTAATCAACATGTTTTAGCTTCTGATAAATCATTATCTATATTCAGTATTGTACGCAATATACACTTTTATATAAAGGAGAAAGATTTATATTTGTTCTTAACGTTGTTATTTGTTTTTAAAAATATACTCAAAAACTAATGGACCGATTGCAATCATTTTTCATTATTGTACATTATTCTTGAGTGGCTATATTTACTAAAAAAAAAAAAATTACAAAATTAAAAAATAAATATGCAGCGCTATGACCCCAAGACATACTAAACGTAATAAAGTGTACTTTTTCAATTGTTTAAAAATCGAATAGGTCAATCCAGCAAATGTGTTTGAAACTGGGTAACACATTATATATGTAAATATTAGTTTAGAATGTTTGAACCTCAAGTAAACTCAAGTAAAGAAAGCTTTCCTTAAGTTAGGAGGCTCATCTGATGTTAAATGCCCATAGATACTCACATTGCCAGAAAGCTCGCAAGTGCGTTGCTGGGCAAAACATTTTTTTGCGCTCTTCTCTTCCTAAGTCGAATTGGTTCGGAAATACTTAAATTGGTAGCTGGTTCCACATAGTGGTTGTGCGCGGCAAAAATCGCCTTAAAAACCGCTCATTGTGGAACGGCGGACGTCGATGTGATAGGGAATGGAATTTCGTATTCTGCATTGATCTCCAATGATCAAACTTAGCAGCAGGTAATCCAGACAACTCCACTGAACACCCTCAATGGTAAATGCGGTAGAAGATGCAAAGAGGCCCCATACCTATCTCTAGGCAACGCCAAGGGCTCAAGCCGCTCGCCAAGTGTGAATCGCTCTTCGTTGAACACGATCAAGTGGAAGGAGCTGGTACTAAGGCTTTAAGGAGAATGTCTTTGACGAATGGATGTGGTAGTGAGATGGATTTTTTTTTTCCTTTAAACGTTTCCATGCATGACCCTCACAGCAAATCCCAAAAATATGCCCCTCAACCTAACATTGAGCATTATTCTCTCCAAACTCGTCTCCGTCACCTTCATACCCATAGCTTGCTCAGCGTTATACATATCGTATCCATACATGGGACAGTCGGTCAGAACATGCAACACTGTCTCTTCAGCTGCATCGCCACAAGGACAGGCAGCACTTTGTCATTTGGAAGGAATAACTTGGTTATTGCAGCTGTTTCGCCGTCTCGATATCTGTGATTCCATTTTTCTATCGTGTTTCCACGTAGACAGTTCTTCAAATGCGATATGGGAAATCTATTGTACACGGGTGCCTCTTCTAGATGCGCAGCTTCCTTTGCTAGTTGGTCTGCTCTTTCATTCCCCTCCATGCCCGAATGCGCTTTAACCCAAAAAATATCAATTTTTTTGTTGATTAAATGCGCTTTATTCATGTTCTTACGAATTTCAACTACAAGGGGATTGAAAGAGCGACCACCCGCAACACTTTCAAGTGCACTTCGGGAGTCGCTATATACGCCGTAGGATGTTTCTGGGTGACAAAGGATCCTTTGAGTCGCTTTAAGAATAGCCACCAGTTCAGCTTGATACACGGAACAGCATGAAGATAGTTTCAACTTAAAAGTCTCAAATTCGGCACCATTTTTCCATAAGGAAACGCTAGCACCGACCAATTCGTCTACTTTACTTCCGTCCGTATATATCTTTACTGCCGGTGTATCTATTCTAGGACCCTCTTGTTCTCTATAGGCTATAAATTTGATATCAGGTTCTTTGGAGGGGTGAGGAATACTCATCCACGATACTCTATGCTCCAGGTCACCTTCCAATTCAGACTGAAATAATCCTCTCTTTGCTTCGTATAGCACAGCGGCCTCCTGGATTCTAAGGTCTAGGGGCAATAGTCCAGCGAGGATCAAGCTGGCATTCAGTGATACGGTTCGGTAAGCTCTGCAGAGCTTCAGCGCGAAGCCTCGTTGTACTGAATTTAATTGCTTCCTAATTTCTAGCTTTTTAGTGGCTGGGGCCCAGACTGCTGCCGTATATAAGATTATCGGCTCGATGACTGCTGTATAAATAATATGAATTACATCTCGGTGTAAACCCCAGCCAATTCTGGCCGCCCTTGCTAATTGTTTGTATATATTTGTTGCTTTACTGCATATATTGGAGATATGTTTATTAAAGGTCAATTTAGCATCGAGAGTCAAACCAAGTATTTTTATTTCATCTGATAGTTTCACGGACACTCCGCCCATATTCAAATGTGGTTTGTCATATTTTATTTTTTTAGTTATAATCATAGCTTGGGTTTTTTGTGGAGCAAATCTGAGTCTATTTTTGGTACCCCAATCTATTACATAGGCAAGAGCAGCATTAGCATTTCGTTCTATTTCAAATGCTGATTCTCCGACAAACACCACGATGACGTCGTCTGCAAAGGCTTGACAATAGTACCCCTTTTTTCCATTTCTTGCAGCAATGGATCCAAAAGTAGGTTCCAGAGTATAGGGCCACCTATGGATCCCTGAACGCATCCTTTCGATGTATTTCTATTAACCTCCTCTCCCGCATATTTTAGCTGAACCTTTCGTTCTTTTAAGTAGCTATGTATTAGCTTTCTCAAGTTAATCGGGACCTTTAGTTTAGCCAGCTGAACCCGTATCATTGGCCACTAGGCACTATCAAAGGCGCCCTCTATGTCCAAGGAAACTATCGTTATCAGTTTTTTCTTATTTATTTGGTCTCGTATATAGCCCATAAGGTCGTAGAGGGAGTCTTCTGTGCTCTTTTGTGGCATAAAACCGTATTGACGGTGGTTTAGTTTAGGTATCATATGCTATTTTAATCTATACACAAGTAATTTTTCTAGGATTTTACCCATCACGGGCAGAAGACCTATTGGTCTATAGGACTTTGGACTCGTGTAGTCATCCATACCAGGTTTCCTGAGAACCACTACTGTTGCGACTTTCCATAGTTTCGGGAAGTATCCAAGTTCTAGACATTTGTTTGCCATTGATAGGAACACTCCCGGATCCCGCAGGATAGCTCGTGAACAAATATCGAGAGTGAGGCCATCTGATCCAGGTGCTTTTTTGCAGTCAAAGCTACCAATCACCATGTTGAGTTCAGTAATAGTAAATAGAGGATCATGGTTGTCATCATGGTCCTATTCATTTACTGTTTCAGCGAGCTGTCTTGTTTTCTTATGTTCCTGATCATCGTCTTCTTCTTGATCGCGCGGATAAAAAACCTCTGCAAGTAGCTCAGCCGACTCCCTTGAACATAGAGTTTTACCTTGATTATTTAGCGGTAGGTCTTCATGCCTCTCAGTGGTTTTATTTATAATTTTATATATCCCTTTCCAGACTCCTTCATTATCCTGTTTTTCACAGTACTCTTTCCAACTATTAATCTGTGCTTTTTTTGCTTCTTTCTCATATATATCCTTACCCTCTAGATATTCTTTTATCACTTTCTGTCTTCGAACCGCGGCAGCGCATTGAATCCTACGCTTTTTAGTCACCATTATCCGTTTAAGGTTTGCCAGTTCTTTGGTCCACCACGGTATGGTAGGGAGTGATTTATTTTTTATTTTAGGTATGCAGGCATTACTGGTTTCTGTTATAATATTTATATATGTTGTTATAATGTCTTCTAACTCTGTTTTATCGGTTATATTATCTATGTTTTGTTGATTTATTCTATTTTCCAAAAGTAACTGACCGATTTTCTCTTGAAAATTAGTCCAGTTAGCTTTTTTAGTATAATATATCCTTGTTGTTTTTAATTCTGTGTTATTCTTTGTTATTTTCTGTTT